TTTGTAGTCCAGTTGGAGGTAATCAACACTCATTTTAAGAGTATCATAGCCCACTTACTGTGGGTATGAGATTATAATGCAATTGTAAATAACATACTGATTAGCTCTCTATCTAATAAAAATATGCTGTCTGATTGACCATCATCAACTGCAAATAACCGATCAGTTCTTCAAGAAAGATTGCCAGGCCATATTGTGACAGGCCACATGACAGTATTGTTCCAGCCTGCTTCCTCTGCTTCCCTCTTTCAGGTTATGCCTGATTGCTTGGTCCTTTCTATTTCATAGTTGCATTTTCCACCAGATTAGCTCTGGTTCTTTAGAGATTCATGGAACCTTGGTGGTTTCTGTCAAACCATCCCACGTTTTTACCAGAACCCTATCCATATTCAGTCATTTCTAGCACTCTGTCTCCCTCCCTCCAGCCTACCACATGATGTCAATAATATAATCTGACCCGTATTTTTAAATTCTTTTTTCTGATTGTGTCATATCGATTTTAACTACCCCTTCATATACAGTTAAAATAAAAACGCAATTCTATTTTTTATTTATTTATTTTATTTGCAACAACACAGATATATAAAATAATTATTTTATGAGAAACTGCTGTTTGCATTCTTTGTTCAGTATCATGATAGTAATGAAAATATATTTGGAGAATATTGCACTTTCTTGTAGTACTTGAAAGTTGAAGAAGATATAATTTATTAATCCCAGAGGGGAAATTGTCTTTTGTTTTTTTTTTTACACACATATAACACACTTTCATGCACTTGTGGAGATGCAAACAGGGAGAGAGTGATGGGGCTGCTATGTTAGCAGCACCCCATGCGCAGGTTTGGGTTTAGGTTGCCTTGCTCAATGGCACTTCGGCAGTGCACAGGAGGTGAAACTGTCACCTCTCCAGCTACCAGTCCACACTCCATATTTTTTGTCTGTGGGACTTGAACCGGCGTCCGGTTCCCAAGCCAAGTCCCTCCACACTGAGCTACTGCCCGCCCTGCTAAAGTGGCCCTGCTATGAGATGACAATACCAGCAAAGAGTCTTCAGACAATATCCTGCATGCATGGAAAACAGAGGAATGCTCCTTAGCGCAACCCCAAACAGTAAACACACACTCCAAATACTACAGTACAGCTAAGCAGACAGTACATCATTCCAGCTAGGTTGCACCAATTCCTTATCTATATCCTAATATTCCTGACACGTGCAATAAATGTAATAACCAGTAGGGGTCGCTGTTTCATTGTATATAGGAGTGCCCACAGTGTCTGACAGGTGGATCTGGACCAGTCAGATTATTGGTATAGATGTATGAATATTTACCTCAGTCACTTCAAACAAGGTCCCTGCTTAATGTCTGTGTCTTGAAAGTTTAACGGTGTATTGCTCTTGAGAGAAACCAACCAGTTCCTGCATGCATGATCCCAGGGAGTTGAGTTTAAGGTCGTGACCACGACACGGATGCCTTTCTATGGTTAGTCTAACAATATCTCCTGGGGTTGTGCGGTGTATGGGACACAGGACATGCTGCTTTGCCGAAAGGCCTAATGATCCTGAGGTCCATTACTGATGATGTGTCCCAAAATTCTGTGATGACTTACCCCTAACGTGGGCTAGCGACTAATCCATACCGAAACCGGACTGAAGATACTCGGAGCTCTGACCTGGATGAAGACTGTTCCATCAAAACCTAACTTCCTAGTCTGCCTATTTTCCTTTTGCTGTCCCTTTTTTCTTCTGCTCCTCCTTTAGAGTGGGTGAGGACAAAGTAGGGAGAACCCTGAGTGACATGCACCAGCCAGTGCCTTGCCGTGGGCTCTCTACTCCAAACTGTGTAAGTCGTCAGACTGCATGGCAAGAGTCACCGAGATAGAATCTTATTTCCGGAATTTCCCAGTGGCTAATAGGGATGATTTTTCACTTACATACAGCATTCTGACCTACAAAATGATGGATGGAATGATGAACTGATCTAACTGCTAGTAGGGCTGTTTTCTTTTCTTTTCTTTTTGTTTGCTTTCTCCTCTTACTCCTTAGTTGTTTAATTGTTCAAAATATGTTTGTTTGTCAATTCATCTTATTGTCTCTTCAAGAAGGATAGTTGATTGTTGAGTCTCATTCCGAGGGCGTCAAATACAGACACTTTGGGACCCTAGGAATGAGACTCAACAATCAACTATCCTGAAGCCACAAACCCAAAGTGTCTCTCTATATTTCTTGGCTCTGATTGCTTGTTTCAGTCCAGACCCGGTGGATTCTTGCAAATACCATTAGAAGCACTAGGAGGATCCAGAGGAACCTGATTTTGTTTTTGTTTTTTTACAGATTATCTGTCTCATGTTTTACTGTCAGGATATAGTGAAAGTTTCAGCAAATATGACAAAAAGTTACCCACCCACGTGTCAGCCACGTTTCCAGAAAGACTGCACTATAAAGGCATCTAGCGAATTCTTATCAATGGGAAAGTTGGTGTCGCGAGTGGTGCGACTCCAAATACAGCTGTGAGGGGTTAAGGGTTAAAGTCCATGCCAAAAACCAAAGGACCAATGCATATGAGATATGAGTATGAGTATGGTCAGTGGGTGACTGTTTGCACCTCTTGCAAATATCACTGGTGTCTGAGTACATTTTTGCCAACACATATTTATCCAGGAACAGCCCTATAGGAACTGTGGTTTGGTAAAATGTTTATTTGCAGGCCTGGATAAGAGATAAATTACTTATTATTAAAGATGGATATCTTCACATTGGATTTGTGGTTAATACTTAACAGACTTTACTGTAATGAACCAAGCATGCATAGCACATTATGGCCACAGGGCACTCCACTCCTACAAATCTTACAACATGACACCCTGACTCTGACATTCAGTTCCACCTCACAGTTTACCATTCATCTAGAAAAGCAAACAGAGCCAGATGATCACATATATTTAATAGGGTACAACAATGAAATCACAATAATCATTGAATCCAAAGCTTTAACATACAGCACAAACACACAAAGTGCAAGGTTTCAAACATTTTCAAAGAATACATTGTTAAATAAAATAAACAGAGATCCTGATGTGAAAGTTATGAGCTTGTGGCTAAAACAGGAAAAGCTTGTGTCTACACAAAATCACAAAAAAAAAAATATCACACAAAATAGATTTATTTGTATCACACAAAGAGAAGAGATGGACCAGTTATGTTCTCCAAAAACAAATTAATTTCAAAATTCTGTTTTAAGAGTTATCTATTAGAGCCTGGCCGATACAGGAGACTGATTCTGATATTGATGCTTGAGAAAAAAAAGCAGCACTAATATATATTATTATATTAACAATAGATCAGATAACTAAATGTAATTTGAACTGTGTCACAGGGATGAATCTACAGAGAATCACCCAACCCTGAAGTTCCCCTTAGCTCTATACTGAGCTCATTGTTTTGGTTTTCAGTCTCAGATTTCTGTAGGAAACTGGTTTCAGAGAAAAAGTTCCAGACATACAGAGTTAGAGACTAGCTGGTGAACACAGTGGAGCATTTAAAAAGGTCCAGTATGTAACATTTAGGTACATCTTTTGTCAGAAACGGAATATAATTATTCATAGGTATGTTTTCATTAAATGTATAATCACCTGAAAATAAGGACTGTTGTGTTTTCGTTACCTTAGAATGAGCTGTTTTTTATCTACACACGGAGCAGGCCCTCCTGTCTCCTACACGCTTAAAAGGCTAGTGGTATTCAGATGGTTGCAATCTGCAACTTCACCACTAGAATGCCACTAAACTACACACTGGTCCTTTAAAGAGACTAAAGGGAAAGTCAATATTAGGCCCTGTTTACGCGACATGAAGGCTTTTGCATAAAACAGTAAACATTTGTTGCAGTTCAGCCTTTCGTTCACACGACAACTCCATTTTGGGAGCTGGAAAACTGTTACCGTAGTTCATATCTGATCGGCACTGCCTACTAGTTTTTTACAGTTTGATCTGAGTTTGGGTGCGTTGAGCTGAACAGCTCACTGAGAATGACATCATAAAGTAGATCCTGTGTCTATTGTCTATTGTTTTCTGAATGAGACCATAATTTACTAAGTGAATATCATGCTGTATGGAAAAAGACTGAAAATAGAGAATGAGACTATAAACCCATCAGGAAACTGTTTACTGAGGTCATAAATGAAGTGAGAAATCAGCTCATTCTCCATTAGATAGCAAGGTATAATTTTTTATTGCAGCAATGGAGCTCCCCCTGCTTGGCCTGCTTGCATAAGACATGCAAGGTTCTAAGAAGCTTGCCATGTTTGGCTCT